TCCTGGAGCCAGGTGGAAGCATACCCAGTTATAAATAGAAACTCCCTTTCCTACTAATGGTGGACCACCACCCCACATAAATTCGAGATACACCATAAGTGGCAAAATTCTTCTTACCACTTTTCCTAGTAAGCCCTTTGGGTTCCAAGATGGACATTTTTAATCACTTTCTAGCATTCATTTTCCCCTCCTTCTTAAAAAATACCTGATTTTCTTCAGTTGTTCAATCTCCACATATAATGAGGCCCAATAAATCAAGGGAGGTTCATTCAGTCCTTGGTTTCAGGGATGAGTCTCAGTGCAAGCCAGAGATAACAAGCGCCATCTCCTTTGCTGGTCAGTACTTTGGAACCAGGGCTTATGAAAACTCACATTCTGATGGTCCCCTGGCAACTCTTGATCCAGGGTTGGCCATGGGACTTATGGTGGCCAAATAAGACTGAAGGGAATTATTTTTATTTCATAGTTAAGAGAGAGCTTTTGTCTCTTGCTTGGTGAACATGAATGAGGAAAATATAGCCTTAATGCTGTAGACAGCCAAGCTGCAATCATGAAGAAAACCAGCTTGAAGACAAAGCCAACACAGGCAGAAGGCCTAATGAGAGAATTTCAGAGCAACAGAACCTGGGTCAGAATGGGCCTAGCCTTCCCGTTTTCTCCATTGTTTATATCCTAACTGATACAGACCCTTAAGAAAATAGGAATCTGTGTTCTTGTCGGTATAGTGGAGTTCCCGAGCTGGGCTTGCACAGAGGACAGTTGGGGTTTTAAGTGGTGAATTGTCAGCTATGTTTGCATAATACAACTGAAATATTGGCTTTTTATTGATTAGTTTTTTTAAGTGGAAGACAGAGTTGTTCACTGGGCCTCAAATGACTTCTCCACTGATCTACTATTTTATCCCAATAGTTCCATCCATCTTATTTACAGAATAGTGGTAATCATATGGTGAGCTGGTCACATCTTAACAGTGATACATAACTATAAGAATCTTAAAAAAAATCCCTCAAAAATCTGATGTTGATTTGGATCACTGCCTAAATTATGTTGGAAAAAGGAGACATTTAGTTCATATATGACTGAAAAAAAAAAAGGAAAAAATATATTGCGGCCTTTCTTTTCTAGACGACTGCTCGTAGGAAAGTTATTTGGTGTCTTCCTCACAGAAATGTAAATATTCCTCACAGTATGTCATATCTCTGGAAGCTTGGAGAACTTGGAGGATGAAGGGTTTAATGTTGTAAAATGATTATTTCCAGCATTTCTAATCAAACAGCTTATAAGAAAGTGAATTATATGTGGTCCAAACTAGTTCAATGCAAAAATTCACACCCATCTTCATGCTTAGTACAATGCATTTGTAAGCTTTAGACATTCAGGCTTTTTGCTTTTGTGACAGCCTTGACTTTAATGCCAAAGGACTGGTAAACCTCTGGTGCTCTGAATCCCAAGTTCTCTTTAGCCAATGTAAACTTTCTTTTGTGTTTCTGACCTGGACGTGGGATAATTTGCTTTTTCTTTAGGGCAGAGAGGTGTAAATTCTTGAAAAGAATAAGCTTTCATAGTTTCATTTCAAATAACCATTGTATAACTCCAGTTTTTCTTCTAGTTGAGCTTACAAGTCTGTGTGGGGTATGTGTGTGTGTGTGTGTGTGTGTGTGTGTGTGTCTGTGTGCTGATGTACACACATTCATGAGCTTTTTATAAACCAGTAGCAAACAGCTTAAGAGATGTGGTCACATAGAATGGACTGTGCATCCTTTTCTTGAGTGAGAGATAATAAATCATTCTTCTCAGGTGGAATCTTTTATTTATGCTCTGGGATTCCATTTTATCAAAAAAGCTTTGGTTTTCCTTTCTGGCTTTGTCTAAGCTGTGCTTTAGCAAGTAATTCAAATCAAGCTGACATTTATTAGTGAGGACATGGTCCACTCCAATCTCATACTCACAGCCAGCTGTTGCCATACCAACTGTGCTATGGGCTTTCCCATTTGTAAGTATGCATGTGTGGTGGCCACGTTGTGTGGTTGCAGATTTACTCTTTGTAAGTCAGTGGATAAAGTCACTATCCACATCCATGCCATGGGAATTGGTTATCGAGGGTTTTTATTTTGCCGTTAAAAGAGTGGTAGCCATTAGATAGGGTTACCATAATCAGAAATGAAAGATTTTAGTAATTATTTCTACTCTGAAGATATTCCTGTCTTCTTTTTAGAAACAGGTTTTACTTATTTATTTATTTGAGAGGGTGAGAGAGAGAGAGAGAGAAAATCTTAAGCAGACTCTGCACTGAGCCTGAAAAGGGACTCGATCTCATGACCCTGAGATCATGACCTGAGCTGAAATCAAGAGTTGGTTCTTCAACTGACTGAGCCACCCAGGTACCCCAAAATATTTGTATTTTCTAGGACATTTTCACGTTCTTATCATTTTATCCTCACAATAATCCTAGTGGTTAGGGGGGATACATGGCATTATTCCTGTTTTATAGCTGAAGAAAGGCAACTGAAGGGAGCAAAGTGATTTTTCCCAAGGTCATTCCCAGTTACAAAACAAGTTACGAAGCCACCAGCTCAGGTGCTCAAACTTGGACTTTCCAAGTTCTGCGGTAGGAAGAAACAAAGTTTGAAACAGTACTCTAAGGTAATCCCAGAATATTGTCCGTGTTGTTATTGACACTGATGTTTTAATGGTATTTTTGGAGTTATTAAATAACTCTCTTTGTTAGAATGGAACTGTTTATTTGGGTGCTGTGACTGGCACGCCTGTTAAATTGTTTCTACGGTGTCAAATATTTCTTAGGGTGAGCGTGGGAGTGGTTCTAGAAAGACACAGCTTCACATTCCTTTCTTTCTTTGAGATCCAGAAATTCATATTCTGTAAACAAGGAGGCTTCAGGTGTTGGAAGGATCTTCTGGTGCTGTTAACTCCTCCATGGAGGAGTTAAAACGTTTCAATGCTGTTTCTGCATGTAAGAGATTATTTTGTCCTGATAACCCTATCTCCTGGAATTCTCTCTGTGATTTTGAAAACTCATTTGGTTAACAAAATTTTGAGCATCTGTATATGCTGGCAGTGTTCAGCCCCTCCCTTTAGTGATCTCACCATTTTGTGTGTGTGTACAAGGACTGTATTCGAGAGCAGTCGATTTTGCTGAGGTTAATGATAGACTAAAGAGACCCAAACATTGTTTTTCTCCTTGAGTGACTCTGTTTGTACAGGATATCCCATTGAGTGAATTTTGGACATAGGTAGTTCCTTTTAACCCTGAATCAATTTATTCCAGAAGTTGTGCTATTAATGTTTGAAATCTGTAAAGTAGGTTACTGTTGCTTTAAATTAGGTAAGGAGTATATTGTAGTCCAGGGTGCTGTTTTTATTTGACTCTGAGGAGCATGGGAGGTGGTCTACCAGCCACCCAGCCTGGACTGGGAGTGGCCCCATGGAGCTGGAGGGTGGTGACAGGCAGGGGGAGGCAGGAGGTAGCTTCCGTGTTTTCTCATCCTCTTTATCTACACTTTCGCCCTAAGTGATCTAGTCCATTCCTATGTCTAGCTGCATTTTTCAGAGCTTGGTCATGGAAATAGTGGCAATTCTAGGTATTATAAGCAGTAATTGTGTTAATACAGAGAACTAGAGGCTTACAAAACTCTTGGAAGGTCAGGGAAACTACCGGTGCAGATCTGGGCTCCCTGCAGTCGTGGGGTGGGTAATTCTTAAACGCTTGTCCTGAAGTCACTATTTCAAGTCCAGGAATTCCACTGGCTTACAGCTCTGGAGCAGGTGGTTTTCTAGAGCTTTCCTGGAAACCCCCACATCTGCTGACTGACCATGCATCTGCCTGGAACTCGTGAGGGAGTGCTCTGGCTTCCAGACTTTAGGCAGTGCCTCTGAGGGGCAGATTCTAATGTCCAGACATACAGGGGAAGGTTTCTGAGAAATGTGTTTCCAGGCTCCTCCGCTGTGATGCAGAGGACAATGTAGCAGAAGTGGCGTTGATGCTGAGTTATCAGCTGACCACCAGGGATATTGTCTGTATCCATGTAAGACACTTTTTTGGTCTTCACTATGTGCGAAACACTGTGCAAGAATAAGTGAGACCAAGGCTCCATGATGATCTCAAATGTGAGTGGGAGCGCTGCTTGCAACTTGGTGATCTTTATCTTCTTTAAAAATGACTCTCTTAGGAAAAAGGAGGGAAACAAGAAATGAAGAGAGAAGGAAGCCAATGATGACCCCACTTTAACTTACCTTTTGTCCCCAAAGCAAGAACTTCCCTCACCAGTGAAGGTAATTAAAAAGAAAAAAAAAAATCATTCTGTTTTTCCAGTTACTGACTGAGCCTTTACCAAGTGTAAATGAATTTCAAACATTGGCTAGGAGTTGTATATCCCAACATAAGGAGAGAGACTCCTAAATCAACAGTTCCCAAAGTGTCTGATGCAGCGAAGCACTTCTCAGATATTAATTCAATGAAGAAAAATATCTTTCCTTTTAAAAGTAAGAGGGATGATCAGGAAAATAGAAAAACTAATTCTTACAAGGTGGAGAATTGTCTCCTGGTTCTTCCCTCTGGCGATTACTTTTTTTAATCCCCATTTCATCATTTACCTGCTCTCTAAACCCTCTTTTTTCTCCTCCAGCAATAGTGCCATTTGTTCTTCTCCTTTGTTTTTCTAAGGAGATTTAGCTGCAGCGAGTGATGGTCACCCCCCCAGCCCGGGGAATACTGATTGTATTCGTATAAATCATCTGCGGGTAACATATGACTGGCCGACTGCTCGGGCCAGTAGGTCTTGGAATGCGTCCTCCACCCAAAAGCCCTCCTCTCTCCCACATACATCTTTATCACTGGATTTCAAAGACAGATCATGCACAGGAAGAAGGGAAAGCTTTCTTTTTTCTTTTTTTTTTTTCCCCTAGCATCCCCTCCTCCTACTGAAACTCACCATGGTACCCATTGGGAAAGAAATGAGATAATCAGGATTTTTTTTCCTTAGAAAACTTGCAAGACGAAACCCAAGAGACAGAGCATGCCAGATGTTGTGGAGAGCACGACTGCCCAGTGCCTTCGGCCACACATGCTGAAGTCACGAAGTTGGGAAATCTGACTCAGGAGTCACTGTCCAGTGTGGGAGCTGACAAAGCGCCAAATGGTCTGGGACAACTGGTAACCCAGCCAGTCCCTGGAGCGCAGGCCTGGTGTGAGGGCTTTTTTGGGCATAGATCAGTCGGAGGGAGACTGGAGGGCTGGGATTACTTCTGGAATGTCATGTTCTGGGAAGCCCTGAAAGGTCAGATCACTTCTGGGGTCAGGATCAGCTCTGGGCTTGGTATCCCTGTCGTTTGCAAGAGAAGTCCTGAGCACCTGGGGTGAATGGTACAGGACGTTGGATGCGTACGCCTAAGCCAAACGATATAGGACATTCAATAGTTTAAATGGGAGAAAGTGAGAAAGCACCTACTTCCGTGCTTTTTCTAATACAGCTTCATCTTTATTAGAATTACAGTGTGATTCAGTCATCACTGGGTATACCAATGAACAAACACAATAGAGTAAACAAGGTTTTCACTACAGGCTCGAAGTTCAACTTGTCACTCGCCTAGCCCATTTACAATTAGTTTTCTTCTGTCTCATACTGTTTTTCCAGGTTGAGGTGGCATATTTGCACCAGCCTTGTATGGAATCAGGAGCCTTGAGCTGTGTGCTCAGTCTTGACACAACCCCACCAGGATCTTCTTCTCCAGGCTTGCTGTCAGCTCTGGAAGCCGTCTTGGCTGCCTCTGCTTCCCTGGAGACAAGGGCACCTTTCTGGGCTCCCATGAAACACATTTCGCAGACATGGAGTCCTTTCATCAGCCGTGCCTCTGTACCCTGGTTCTCAACGAAGTTTGCATAATGGTCCCCTGGGACACTCGTGATAAATGCAGATCACTGGCTGTCCTCCACAGAGGTCTGAGTGGGCCCCTGTAGACTGCCACATCCTTAGTCCATTCCCAGGTGAGTCTGACAGAGTGGCTGAGAGCTACTGGCATGCCCCGGACTGCTGCCTCAGGAACTTGTCTTTCCGAGGAGGCCTCAGCATGCCTCCTTCTGTCCCCGCCGACCCGGCAGGTGCAGACATTTGCTAACAGAAGTTCTTTGCTGTATTGCTGTCTGTCAGAGCATTTTATAACTAGCTTTCTGCAGAACAGTAAAAAACAAAAGAATTCAGCTTAAACATAGCCAAACAACTTTTAACAGAGCAGTAAAGTGATTTCCTCACCGGGCTCTGCTCTGCAGATCTGTGAAGCTCTGCTCACTCTGGACCTTCTTGTACGTTTACCCTGGGCCCACCTCCGATGCACCCTCACGCAGACCTGGACTGCCAAGGGGAAAGTAGTCTCCAGGGATCATCACACTGGCTTATTTCAGACCTGTGTCCCCCGGGGGCAGCTGGGAGCTGGCCGAGGCCTCAGGGCAGCTGGGAGCAGAGCCTCATGCCCAGTGCTGCCTGGTGGCCTTCTGAGCTCCGCCACCTGGGTGGTCTGCGTGCTGGCAGAGCACAAGGCTGCGGGAGTTCACAGCCCCCTCTGGGGGACATGACGAATGGCCTTGCTGACAAACCGTGGTCTGCTTTCCATCTCTGAGCCATGAACGGTTTCGTTTTCAAAGCCAGAAAACAAATCACGGGAACCAGACACAACACACGCAGGCCACAAATGATGCAGCCATATCCTCGTCTCAAGGAAGGGACCTGCAAAGGTAAAAGAAAAACAGTTTTGTTAGGACTCTTCGATGAAAAGTTAATACAGCAAACTCAACCAGAGCTTGTAATGGGACGCTCTGCACCCTCCCTGACTGGGCCTTCTGACCTGGTTGACAGTCAGTCCTCTCTGGTGGGCAAACCTATCTGATGCGCTCCATCCCAGGGAGCTTCCCAGGCCACCGTGGTGGGAGATTTGGACAGGCCAGGAGAGGCTCTGGGACTCTGCACTCACCAGCTGCGTTTCTATCTGACTTATTCATAGAGTGCTGCCAAAATCCCATTTGAGGAAAACATTCTGCAGGTAAACAACAGTGGAACTATTCCAGTCTACTCTGGTATCTCATCCTTTCCAGTGGGTGGTTCCAGTAAAGAAAGGAGGAAGACAGGATAGCAATTTTATAAGAAGGCATCGATTTCTTGGTGCCTCCTGTCTGATGTTGCCCACCAGTTCCCCCTGTCCCCCCCGTCCCTTCCTTTGGGCACATGCATAATGATTTAAGGTTGCATTACCAAAAGTCAGAAAGAATGAGCAAAGGATCATGTCTCTGTAGATTGTGGATGACAAGGAAAGCATGTTAGCTAACCAATATGAAAAGTGAGTCCTCACCTCAGCCTCTCCTACTTGGCAGACAGGTCCCTGGTATGCCTGGGTCCCGAGTGGCACACGAGCTCATGCACATAGGCCTGTCCTCTCCATGGTCCTACAGCAACATAGGAAATATCACAGATAACTTGGGCCTGGTGAAGAATGGGTCACCCTTTTATGCCTACCCCCCACACATGAGTGCTCCCTACTGGCCACGTGTATCGTAAGTTGATTTTGTTCCCCTAGCCGCAGCTGACTGAGCCAGCCTTCCTCATGTCGTGGTGAAGAGCAGGATAAACGCTAACGCGGGAGGCGGCATGTGATGCAGAGTGATGAGTGTTGCTGGGAGAAAGCACACTGCAGGCAAAGGCAGGGAGGCATGAATGAATAAAGTATGCACAGCTGGCTGGAGGGAGCACCTGGAGAGGAAGCTAGGGCTCCTGTCGTATTGGGTTAAAGTATTTGGAATATTCTCATAGACAACTGGCAGACTTTAGGAAGAACCCTAAGCAAGGGTAATGATCAAGTCTAAATATTTCGAAGAGAAGCTTTCTGAAAATGGTCATTTGTTCGGTCATTCTAGAAACCTTCACGGAGTGTGTGTCAGAGGAGAGAGGATTAGGGCTTAAATGATGGTGATCATTGGAGAAAGGAGGAACACATTCACAGCACATGGCCAAGAAGACCTGGTGGCTGATTTGCTGTGGGTCTGAGGGAGGGGCATGAGTCAGGGGTTCCTGAGACCCCAGAGGGACCAATAGATAGGACCATTATTCCAAAGGGAAGAGGAGAACTCTGGGGTGTGGGTCTGGGATCAGTGGGAATGTGTACAGGAATGAGCTTTCTCTCTCAGCAATGAGACTATCCTAACATTCGGAGGACTTTCAGGAGATTTAGCATCAATCCACACCTTCTGGAAAATGAATGTTAAAGCGAAGAAGTATATTATAGGATGATGTGAAACAATCAGAAAGTGCTAACAGGGAGGTCATCAGGGGAACAATTTATTAGAAAGGAGTGTGACCCCAGTACTAATGTGAAAGTCCTTTCAAGAGCATTTGTGCCTCCTAATGATTCATAGCAAGGCCAGGACACAGCCATCTTTAGTGAGGGTGGGCTTCTTTGGAGAATGTAGTGAAACATTTGGGCTAATGGGAAAATGCTACCTGAACTTCTTCTGGGGAAGCATGCGCAAGGGAATGAGGTGAGAGCAGATCTTATTTTCTGCCAGTTTTCTCCTCTTCCTCATTCCCATCCATTCAGAACATTCCTTGGAGGTGGTTTCCGAAGCCTCTGAAATCCACACTTGGTTCTTGCTCTCTTGTGCGCATGCACGCATACACACACACACACACACACACACACACACACACACACACATGCAGGCATGCAGTGAGATATGGAGAACTCTGAGTTACTGGGATATTTTTCCCATGTCACCTACTTCCCCATAGAAGTGTGAGAAAGATGAAAGGGACAGAGAATAGCAGAAAGAGCAGGGCTTTGGTGCCAGGGAAAGCCCCATGTCGAATTCTGCCTGCCATGACCCAGTGTGAGACACTGACTGGACCTCAGGTCCTTTAAAACTTCTTAGGGCTATCTCAGTACTGGAAGCAAAATATCTTTTTTTTTTTGTTTTTCCCCAAAAATATCTTAGAAGGCATTTGGTAACTCTTAGGATGAAATAAGGACTTTGTGACTCTGTGCTGTAAAGTTTTCCTTGTTTCATTTTTCGTCATAGTGAATCACGGTCCCAGCATATCCTCCAACAGGTAAAACTCTCTAGAAACAAAACTTTAGCAAATATCAGCGTGGAATTTATTAATGTTTTATTTAATTACTCAGGGCATTTAATGAAAGAATGAATTATTAAGTGAGAACATTGATTGTTCCCTGTGTATGGCAAGAAGATCTCCTGTGTATGCTTAAAATAGCTCCATAAAATAGAGAGCAGGCCATAGTAAATTAAAGAAAGGAAGGAAAATGGAGTGAGGATTGAAAACACAATTTAGCCTGTAAGTCTGCATAAAATGACACTCACACCCCAGTTATCCCACACTCGCCATACTCGGGACTTGGAGGACTTCTAGAATGGTGGGGAGTCCAGACCCAGAAGAGAATTAAATGCTGCTACAAGAAGTTAAAGATGCTTGGCCGTTGGGCTCGTGGGCCAGACAAGGCGAGCTCTCTGGTGTCTGTGCCCCTCTAGACCCCTCACCCGTCTTCACCCTGCTCTGTGCCCTGGAAGCCTTGTTTTTTTGGTCCCTTGTTAGATTTGTCTAATAGGAGACTCTCGCAGGATATGGAAGAGAGGGAAGAGAGAAGGTTTGAGGTATTTATCCCCCGGTTCTTTCAGCTGAGGTTTTTGCCCCTCCCTAGTGGGTCTCTCTCCGTGACACTCTCCTTCAAGGCCATAGAAGCTAAGTTCTGTGTTCCCTTTCCTTACCACTTAGGGCCTAAAGGTGGTAAACCACCCAAGCTGGTTCCCTCAGCTGGGCTGGAGTGCTTAGTGCAAGGGTAAACTTATTGCAAGAGTCTTACTTAACCAGTAAGCTCTGAGTCTTTCCCTGTATTGAGACACAATCTAAAAGTTAATGGTCACAGTTTATATAACCTGTCATTTTGGAGATAAAGTCAAGTTATAGTCCATATTTCCCCCAAAGAAAGCAATATTTGTTGAGGACCTACTCCTTGCCAAAATGGGTATATTTTAATCCTCGTAGGAGCAGAAAGTAGACTGGCGTTATCTCCATTTTATATACGAGGAAGTATGTTCAGTAGAATTAAGTAAATTGCCTGAAGCTACACAGCTAGTGTGTTTCAGATGTGAGAGGAGAACACAACTTTTCTGATTTTACTGAGCAACCACACTGTTTCAAAAAAGAATGAATCCTTATCTAGAATGATCCATGAACATTTCCCGCAGTTGAGGCGTGACTATACATTTCTATGTTCTGCTGGGGTTTTTTTTTCACAGCCAACTTTGGTAAGACTGTGTTGTATAAAAGCTGCATCATTTACAAGGAGGCTCATTGAAGTAATAAATGGGTCTCTCTTGGAGGCCCTCATCTGTGCTACCAGCAGGAAGCCAGAGGAAGGACAGTACTGAGCCTCAAATGGAGTTATTAAGAGAGAAAGAGAGGGAGAGACAGAGACAGAAAGAGAGAGAGAAGCTTACATTTCCCCCTCCTTTGCAGCTTGTGCATTGTGTTCTAGATGGTCAGCTCTGTGTTGGAACTAGTCAGTTTCACACCAAGAAATATTACATGGGGCTAGCAGGTGGAAATGCCCAGTGCAAGAAATAAGGAGAAAGAAAGTCTGAGCTGTAAAGAGAGAAAGACATGGAAACATCTAGCCTCGGCTTTCTAACCAAATATGCTGTACAGGGAAATCTAACAGTTACTAAAGACAGGCAGGACACAGTCCAAATCAGAGGTTGGCTATTTTTTTTTTCTTTTTTAGATGTGTGACTTTTGACTAGGTAATCAACATCTCTGAGCCCTTTTCCCTAATTAATAAAACAGAGTTAATCTTATCACCCTAACTTCCAGGGACATTTTGGAGATTAAATTACATCCAATCATAATCTGGTACTTGAAATGTAGTGTGTCAAAATAAATGGTCCCCATTGTCCTCCTCCTCATCATTGTTA